CACTGAGTGCATTCTCCTTCTTTTTCTACGGTTACCATGTGCACGAGAAGGCCTTATTGCTGGTTGCAATCCCCTTACTGATTGTAGCTCTAACGGTACTAGATCATGTTTTCAAATTTCTTCAGTTTACGTTTGCACAGTGTTTTGCAGGATCCGAAATACGTCCAATTAGCAGTTTTATTCTCCATCATCACGTGCACCTCGTTGTTCCCTCTACTTTTCACGTTATTTGAGATACCCATAAAGTATTGTTTGGCAACTACGTACACATTGCTACTTTTTCTTGTAATCAGGTACGTTTTGGACCTTAACACAGTTCATTATTGTTCTAATCCGACTTTCCGTAATATCCTACAATTTAGATATGCTTTCAATATCAAAGTAGGGTCGATCCTTTCTATCCAAGCTATTGTGTATATCTGTGGTCTGGTAATACTCGAGCTAAATGCTTCTATGATCCACAAGGTATGTTCTATGTTCCGTATGCATTACTCATGCTAATCAAACGATTATTAGGCTATATTTGGCGAAAAATTCGCCTTTCTTCCACTTATGCTCATATCCGTCTACAATGCTGTTGGTGTACTAGCCTGCTACATCTGGTTGATACTGCTCATATATGATGACGACATCATGATAACCTTCAAAAAGAAGCGTTGTGAACTAACAGAGGTCCTTATTGTAATGTTTAAGGCCGTTGGAGTATTTTTGTATTTTTCCAGTTTAGGGACTCATAAAAGCAGGACTCTATTCGGTGCAGGCAGTGGAATCGCTGGATGAAATTGAAATGATTGGCGGCATTGATATATCTGCATCAAAAACGAACCAAGATTTTGCAGTAGTGGCATTTAATGTGTTTGAATATCCTAGTATGAAGGTTAGCTATATTCTCATACTCATACCCTTAAATTTCTGATTTCTTTTTGCAGCAAGTTGCGATCTTCCATGATGTCATGGTTATAACTGAACCATACATAACAGATTACTTGGCTATACGTGAAGCAGCGCCAATCTCAGATTTCATTAACAGAACTCTTGAAGACAATCCCCATTTGCGGCCAGATGTTATAATCTGCGATGGAAATGGGAAATTTCATTTGCGAGGTAATTTACTCTTTTCTCTTGAGCCTGGTCGTGATTTTGAGGACATCGTTAGGCTGTCTTGGGTGTCAACGGTTTGATTATATATCGGAACTTAGATTCTTTACGAGTGAAGGGTTACTCTTCATAAATTTTATAGAAAACAATTCTATTCTATCATTTGTACAAAGCAAATTTTCGGAGAATATGTTGCTGTTTTTGACATGACTTCTACTGTGCTGACTAGAAATTGATCTGATTTCGCTTTCTACATCCTTTAGGGTATCTCCATACTTCATAAGGATCGGCCGATTCAAGTAGGCCGACTCTTATAACACATATAAGCGCAATAAGAATTGGCCTGAGGTTGCGCGGCGGTTGCGTTGCCGCGCCGCTCAAATAGCATTTTGCCTGGAGTCCCGTTCTCATCTTTTCAGCACACTTGCTGACTTCTGTGAACTCTAACACAGCCTGAAGAAAGGCGAGTCAAATTCGGAAAAAACAAGTGTGGATGGGCTAAGGTAGAGCCAAATTGCGCTAAATCGGTACTCAACAGGGGGCCGCAACGCAACCGCCGCGCACCCTCGATCGGCCGATTCTTATTGCGCTTATAAGGGTATCTCCATACTTCATAAGGATCGGCCGATTCAGATCGGCCGACCCTTATAACGCCTATAAGCGCA